ACCACTACCACTACCACTACCACTACCACTACCACTACCACTACCACAACACGACTACTACTACTACTACTTCTACTACTACTTCTACTACTACTACTACTACTACTACTAGTAGCTACTGCTACTGCTACTGCCACTACTACTACTACTACGACGACGACGACGACTACTACTACTACTACTCCTACTCCTACGCTTACTCCTGCGCCTTCGCCTACTACTACTACTACTACGACTACTACTACTACTACTATTACTACTACTACTACTACTACTACTACTACTAGCACTAGCACTAGCACTAGCACTAGCACTAGCACCACTACCCCTACCACTACCACTACCACTACCACTACCATTACTACTACTACTACTACTACTAGCTACTAGCTACTAGCTACTAGCTACTAGCTACTAGCTACTAGTACTAGTACTACTACTACAGGACGCCCCCGAGAAAGTAGTAGTTGTGCCCGCCCGGCCTCGAACTGGGAAAAGTAATCGTCGGCGCGAGGGGGGCGTGACTATTACGAGCTACGATACCATTAAGAAGGATTCTGCGTTGCGAGGCAATTAAGAAGGAGGCCTTGAAGAATGATTGCGCGCTACAAGGCAATTATAAGAAGTATTCTGTGCTACGAGGGGTTGTAAGAAGGGTTCTGTGCTACGAGAAGTTGTAGTAGTAGTAGTCGTCGTCGTCATCGTCGTCGTCGTCGTCGTCGTCGCGCTCCCCTCCCCCGCGCCCGCTGGTCAGAAGGATTCTGCGCCGCGATGCCTTTAAGAGGGATCCTGTGCTGCGAGGCAATTAAGAAGGATGCCTTTAAGAAGGATTCTGTGCTGCGAGGCAATTACGCAGGATTCTGTGCTACATTCTGTGCTACGAGGGGTTGTCAGAAAGTTTCGACGCTACGAGAAGTAGTAATAATAGTCGCGCCCCCCCGGCCCGCTGGTCAGGATTTGTCCAAAGGCAGGATTTTTCGGCGACGAGGATGGTCGGACATATTCTGTGTTACGATGAAGTCTGTGCTATACGAGGGCTTGTAAGAAGGATTCCCTGCTACGAGGCCTTCCAAGCATGATGCAGTGCGACAAGAAGTAGCGGTAGTCCTGCCCCACCGGCTCCGCCCGGGTTGGGTAGAGGTCGGAAAGGTTTTCTGTGCTACGAGGGCTTGTAGGAAGGTTGCTTTGCGAGGAGGTTGTCAGAACGAGACGTACGAGTCGTCGTGCGCCATGGCCTGGCCATGGCGGAGACATCGGCCAAGCGCCCTCCCAGCACACAGATGTTGGAGGAGTCCACAGACGTGGCGTTGCAGCTGCTCTCCTCCCGTTGCTCGCTGCGTGGAACGCTGCGGTGTAGTTGGTCTGCTTGTGCGTGTATCTGAGCATGAATTTGGGCTACGAAAAGTAGTTAGTAGTAGTAGTGGTGGTAGTAGTAGTAGTAGTATAGTAGTAGTAGTGGTGGTGGTAGTAGTGGTGGTAGTAGTAGTAGTGGTGGTAGTAGTAGTAGTGGTAGGAGTGGTGGCAGTGGTAGCAGTGGTAGTAGTAGTAGTAGTAGTAGTAGTAGTAGTGGTAGTAGCAGCAGCAGGAGTAGTAGTAGTAGTAGTAGTAGTGGCAGAAGTGGTAGTAGTAGTGGTGGTGGTAGTAAGTAGTAGTAGTAGTAGTAGTAGTAGTCGTCGTCGTCGTAGTAGTAGTAGTAGTAGTAGTAGTAGTATAGTAGTAGTAGTATAGTAGTAGTAGTGGTGGTGGTAGTAGTGGTGGTAGTAGTAGTAGTGGTAGTAGTAGTGGTAGTAGTGGTAGTAGTAGTAGTAGTAGTAGTGGTAGTAGCAGCAGCAGCAGGAGTAGTAGTAGTAGTAGTAGTAGTAGTAGTAGAAGCAGAAGTGGTAGTAGTAGTAGTAGTAGTGGTGGTGGTGGTGGTGGTAGTAGTAGTAGTAGTAGTAGTGGTAGTAGTAGTAGTAGTTGTTGTAGTTGTAGTTGTAGTAGTTGTAGTAGCAGTAGTAGTAGTAGTAGTAGTAGTAGTTAGTCGTGCTTCCCCCCAGCCCGCTGGCCTGTTAGAGGATTTTGCCCTACAAGGCGTTTAAGAAGGATTCTGTGTTACGAGGGATTGTAAGAAGGTTTCTGTGCTACGAGAAGTAGTAGTAGTAGTCGCGCCCTTCCCCCCGCACCCCGGCCGGGGTAGAGGTTGTGTGGGCGCCCCCCTCCCGCGCGAAAATTAGGACACCCTTCGGCGGCCTCTACTACTATTACTGTTACTTCTACTGCTACCACTACTACTAGTACTGCTACTACTGCTACTACTACTACTACCACCACTACTACCACGCCTACTACTAGTATAACTACTACTGCTACTACCACTACTACCACC